GGCCGTGCCCACTGCAGACTCCATTTTTAGTCCCCGAGGGGACCTCACCAGCATGGGTGTGCAAGGCCGGTGGGTACCAAGGCCGGAGAGTGGGGCTGGTGGTTCACATCAAGCCGGCCCGAGTCCTAAGTGCCTGCCAAGTCCCGGTGGTCGTTCTTAATAGTGTCCAGTGCGGCCCTGCAACCACGCTTGGTTCACATTCAGGTCCTGCTGGGTGATGACAAGGCCCACTGCTGCGGAGACGTGGGGTCTTTGGGGTCCTGGTGCACATCTCCTTTGGTCTTTCCCTTTGCCATCGGACCCGAGGCTCCCTCTGCAGCCAGCTGAGGCAGCCTCTACTGGTGTCACCGCCTCCGTAAGGTTCGGTTCTCTCAAGCAGCAAGCCCTGTGGTGCTTCGATGTGTGGTACATAGAAAGAGGGGTAAAGAGAGAGAGGGGCCCGTGGGGATTCATATGGAGAAATGGCTCACAGCTGTGGAGTAGAGTGGGTCAGTGCAATCCAGTACAAGCCGGCCTTTTCCTGACTCGTGGAAGCTGACAAGTAGGAACTGGGTAGCAGGATGATGAAGCAGATGGGACTGGGGGGTGGGAGGGCAGGCTGGTGGATGCAGAGGTTATTAATATGAATCTCAAGTCAGCCATTGTTGATAGTCCGATGATGGGTCCTGGGATCAGCACCAATGAACATTTCTCCACTCTGCAGTCACGTATGCCGCACCCCCCCAAGGAAAGCATAGTGTAACTGGGATACTGACATCCCCAAATATCTGAGTGGTGGGGAAGCATCTAGGATCTGTAAGTCCCCGTGGTCACTGTTCCCTCATTGACTGCTTACGTGTATCTTTCCACCCACTTACTGGACCTTTGTACTTGTAACAATTCACTTCCTTTCACTAGTCATGGAAATCCCTGCTCCCTCTAATCTTCTGATTATCATGAGGCTACCTATCAGTCTGTATTGAGGATGTTGGTTTTCTTTACGTTTTTAATCCGTGTTGGAAAGTATGGATCACAATTTAAGGTTAGTATGAGAAAGGCGAGGCTTTCTATTCCCATAGAGTTAGTCTTCGACACCAACAAGGGTAATTCTACCCTGCCCTACTGGGTCACCGGGAGTCCGAAGTGACTCAGAAGCAGTGTTTGGCTTTTTAAAATTTTAATATGAGGAGGACCTGATGCCAGGGGCTTAAGTGGAGAGCAAATATTTTGAGAATGACAAGGGCAATGAATGTACAAATGTGCTTTACACAACTGATGTATGTGTGGATTGTGATGAGTCATATGAGCCCCCAATAAAGCAATTAAAAAATAAATATAAAAAAAATTTAATATGAGGTGCTGCATCCCAGAGATGTGACCATGTAATAACTCTTTAGGCTGTCATAAAAGGAGATCAAGCCTTCTATATGTATTTGTGGTTTTCTGTGTGTTACTTGCAAATAAAAGTTTCGTGATGATTAAATTTTCAAATGGATAACTTATTTTCAGGTGCAATGCATTATAAGCATGTGCTAATAGCATCCGTGCTGTGCTGTGTCCATGCTTGCAATTGATGAAGTCTTCTGGTTTATGATAAAAGTTATTTCATTGCAGTGATTACATAAAATTAATTCATTGTAGTGATTTTCCCAAGACACCAAGGCTCTGTTTGCATGGGCACACAGAGAAGACTGCCTACAATTTCCCTTTTGTGTCTACTCACATTGGTGTGCAGCTTTGGCATTAGCATTAGCCTGCTTTTGCAAATGTTTTCTAACAATGTCCTTTCTTTGGAAATGGGATTTTTGAAGGAAGAAGGCATTCTGGATCAGTTCTTCTTTCTACCCAAGAATGGAGATGATGCTGAAGAGAAGTGAGCCCACGATGCCTTGGACAAGCTCTGCCTGAAGCTCGTTTGATGGCTGCCCAACACTGGCGTGGGACCAGAGGAAGCAGCAGCAGTCGGGATTGCAGAAGAAAGGCCTGGACGACAAGGTGGTGCCCGTGAGGAAAACGAGGGTGAATGGAGCGCAGATGGCGCCTATGCTGACAATACAGTGCACTTGCTTCAGCACTGTGCTAAGCATGAACCCTGAGGATACAGATGTAAATGAGTTTTTGTCCATGTTTATAAGAAGCATTTTGGAAATTTTTATGTGACCCAAGGGCTCACAATACAATGCATAGGGCAGAAAATGACAATACCAAGTAAAAATTGGCAGGCTACCCCTGGAGAGGAAATAAATACATTCATTGCCATGCATTTACTGATGAGTATACATGTCTTGTCAGAGCTCAGATATTACTGATCTAGTCACGCCCTCTTGGGAACTACTTCTGTGACACATTTCATGAATAAAACAAGATTCAAGAAACTCAGAACATACAAGAATCGAAAAACAATGGAGTTTTCCAGGAACTTTTTGAAGCCCCCCTCACACACTACAGTGACAATTCAACAGCCATGTATAAAATGAACTTGGCTATGATCAGCTTCACAATCATGCCCCAAGTATCGGCGTTCTCTCAATAGCCACCTGAAAGACGTGTCAGGGCAGTGGATAAAATCATGATCCACCCAAGCGCCATTCAACAGTAAAATGAAACATGCTGACGGCGCCCATCAGGCATGAGTACATAGTCTGCTTCCAAACGGACTCCCAGATTGGCTTGTGAGTCTGACAGCCACTCCGGAACGTGACTCATGTCTCCCCTTACTAAGTGTTGCACTTGGGACGATTCCATCCATGCAACTAGACTTACAGGCTCAGTACTGTTGACATCTTTTTCCTTCTTATTGCTTGGTGAAATGCATGATTGAAAGGGGACTGGACATCGAAAGCACTGTGCTAGGCTTGGAAAGGGTCTACCAGAAATGATGAAGAGGCAAGATAAACTAAAAGTGGGGAGAAATTCCGTTTTATGCAGAAGAATGTGTGTCAGCAGTACAGGGGTTTGGGCAACCTTCTACAATCCAGAAGACATCCCCAGTGTCAGAAGACAGTGTTAACAACGATGCTTCCCCCTCAGTAATCCCCTGCCCATGAGCAGCTGCCATCATACAGCGCAATGGGAGAGCAGACCTCTTTGACTTGAGATGGTGAAAGGTACATAATTGGAAGGCGTTTTTTCAAAAGGCGGCATCAATTGCTGCATTTCCTTCTTGCTGTTGGCAATGGAAACAGTTTCACAGTGAGGGACTGTAACAGCAGGAACTGTAAAAGCAGATGTGGCCAACTTTCAGGTTCACTCTCGTTAGGCAGATTACTGTCGGTGGTGTGATTTTAATTCCCTAGTTGTTCCCGTGTATGGTGTTGTTTGTTCACAGTCCCCACCCCCCCACCTCCTCCCCCTAAGTCCCTCCGAAACTGTTGGTCCCATTGCTTTCTCCTTCGGCTTGCTTCCGTGCCTATCTTACAGAGGTAGGCAAACCAACAATAACAGATAATACATAAAGGAAACAAATAATTGAATAAAAAGAGGAAAAAAAAGAAACAGAAAAAATATAAAGAAAAATAATAACTAGCAACCCTTCCCCCCCCCAAGCATAGATAATTTCAGGTCTGTCCACTGACCTTTATGACTATCTCCCCACTGGCCTTGGTGGGTCCAGGAACTGCCCCTCCCTGCATGAAGTCTATTTTGGGACCTCCTCAGGGCTTTTTGTGGCTTGGCTTTGCTCTCATTGCTGATCTGTTATGTTCTCCCCGCTGTGGGGGGGAGGTGTGTTTGGTTTCAGACTGAACTCACTATCCCCCCGTGTGGCCCCTGTATTGTGTCCTCGTCTCAAGGGGTCATGTCTTGAGCTGCTGTCAGCCCTACAGTCCTCTCTCTTAGCAACTCTGTGCAGGGAGGGACTCCATTCGCAGGTCTTGGCGTGCCAGCACAGGGTCTAGAACCTCTTTTTCCTTATTGGTTTGCTTCCATGTGGGTGTGGCATGCCTGCCCCTCTCTCCAACCTATAGGCTTAGTGTTGTCCTCTGTCGCACGTACTTCTAGGCTGGGGGTCAGTTTGGCTCTGATTAGGGCTGGCCCAGTAGCCACTCTGCTCATGAGTTGCTCCACGTGGTTGTGGTGCTCAGATCTGCACGCACACTCCCAATTCTGTGAAGACATAATCAATACTCACCCCCTGGGTGGGTTATTGCCCTGCTCCCCCCATGCCATCGTCTCCCCCCTCCCCTTTCCCCCCTCTTTATGATGGAATGACATGTGCCTCCTGGGGTTTGGCCGGTCTCCCACCCGACTGCCTGTATGTCAAACAGGACAGTGTGAGAAAAGTGGCTTTTCTTTTATGCCTACTGTCTGAACATTTCTGATCCCAAACTGTAACCTGTTAACTTCCCAAACAAAGCCCAGAATTGTGAGTATGGGCTGAGTTCTAAATGGTCATTGCAATGAATTATCAAACCTAGCCGAGGAGCTCCATTGGGCTGCTAACCACAAGGCCAGCAGTTTGAAGTCGGCAGTAGCTCCATGGGTGAAAGAAAAGGCTTCCTACTCCCAGAGAGAGTTACAGTCTCGGAAACTCAACCATTCTACCCTGTCCTGTCCTGCGGCTGGTCGTCGGAATCGACCCATGGATGTTGAACCTCGGGTCTGAGAGTGTGGCGGAAGGATGGCGGGCGTCAGGACTGGTCAGCGGGCGTGGAGGCTGGAGGCATGTCTGCCCTCGGCCTCCCTGGGACTGACCGCGGTCTGCCGTTGAGTTTGCTTCTTCACTCCTGTGACGTCAGAGGCGGCCAGAAGCTGCCTCCACGTCATTTTTAGATAAAAATGTCACACATAGTATATACCAAACCCATTATACCTCATAAAAAGTTTTAAAAAACATCTTGGTCCCAGTTCTTAAGAATGGTCTGCACCTAATAGGGCAACTGGTGCCAATGTGGACCCACACAGGCGGAAAAACACACAACAACATTACTTCCCTTCAATGTTAGCTGAGACGCCTTTTGATTAGAAGCTCTGATTTAACTAAATGTCCAGCAAACACAGGAAGTTAAATCACACCACAAAGGTCCAAGTATACACAAAATCTTTATACATCCACAAATTTGACCAAAAGTATACAAAGCAGTCTCAAGTTACTGGGACAACAACGGATGTTCTTGTCCTCCACAGGTCATGGAATGCAGTCACTGTTCATGTCCGAGAAGCTACTCGTAGGACTAAGTTTGGTGGGGGAACCCTGTGTCCTGCAGAAATGGCAATTCATAGTTGAAATGAAACACAGTCAATGTGTGAAGCACCTGCCACCTAACAGCTTTACCTAACAACAAGGCGAATCTGCTTGGCAAATAAGGGTTTGATGTAGAAGATGCACACATTGTCCAAATGGCTTCGTGTTTCTACTTATAAATTAATTCACAGGATTCACGACGCAGTTGCTTCTTAGCAAAAGGTTTTAGCAAAAATAATACAAAACAATCTCTTGGCAAGTGACACTATAGTTCCCTTTCTAAATGAAAACCTCCCATTAGATTAGATTACACCATGTTAGTGTCCCCTCTCATAAAATTGCTGACATAACCAATATAGCAGAGACCCCTTGTAAACAAAACCCCAGACATCACTGCTGCGGTCGGTCCCCTGGTATTCATGGACAGGCTCGTCCACACTTCAAGGGGCTTGGGACTGGACTTGGCTTTTAAAACAGGAAATGTTTGCAGAGCAAAAAAGAGCAGGTGGGGGTGGGGGAACCCCAATGTACTGCTTTTCTGCTCACTCCCAGCTGGCAGGAGGCGGGGCGTGAGCCAGGCACACTTGTCGGGATGTGTCCCACACAGATGTGAATCTTTAGATAACATGAACACCTTTCAGATGTTTATCCCGTTGTGAAAAGACTGGGGCAGTGAGCGAAACCAGGGAAGAATAATAGTCACTTCTCTCTCTCTGAATTCCAGCCTCCCCTTAATGCTCTGTGAGGCCAGCCTACGGCCGCGGTGACTGTGCTTTCTCCCTGCGTGGTTAGCCGAGTCTACTTTAACCTGCGGGACGTCGTGTCTGCGGAGCAGAACTGCTTCCCAGGGTTGTGCACGCGGAGACCGCTGGGAAGCAGGAGTCTCTGGGTGGGTTCGGACCACCAACCGCTAAGCAGGCCCACGAGCCTTTAACCTTTTTGCCTCTCCCTACACCAGTGGGCAAAATAAAATTCTGCCCAAAGTTCCAGTTAAGGGAGACTCCACATTCATCAAGTGAGGCTTTTGTGCAGAACACGATGAGACGTTTCTGTTATGGCCAAACCGTCAGGTTGCGTCTAGCTACCATACTGGCTGTGTAATACCTTTCTCCCATTTCTTGAGCTTGTGAAGGTGTGTTGCAGCCAATTTCCTATTGGGCAGGGGGAGCAGGAATGGCCAAAACCCTTGCTTTAGTGAAGGACAGGCAGCGTCCTGTCCGTGTATTAACTCCTCAGGGAATAGTTTTCAAAGGAGGGCGTGGCCTTGTGCTCAGGAGTTTTGCTCACAGGTGCTCACCGAATGTCTGTGCTGTCAGGTCTGAGAAGACCAACGTTGGGTGAGGTGAACTCTAAAAAATAAAAAGCAAGCCCTTAAGTAAGAGTCCTTATTTCCTTGTACTGAAGGGAAAAAGGTGTCTGAAATTCAAGTGCCAATATCCCTTTTCTGGGAAGAGACTTAAAAAAAAAACCAAACACGTAACAGCTCACTCTCTGAACTTTACCAGCAACGTTTGAAATGAACTCAGCATTAAAATCAAGTCTTGAAAATTAGAGGCAGCAAAATATTGATATTCCTGTAGGATGTAAATTCTCACCCGGCCAGGGAGAACCATTTAGAGGAGCTGTTTAAAGACGGGCCGGGAGGGCTCTAGCTAAGGGTGAGGGTGGAGACAACCAGGACACAGCAGCCCAGATGCATTTTTATGTCACAACCTGGAGAGCCTAGGAGCAGAGCCGCCTGAGCCCTGAAAGGGCAGTCTCAGGCTCTGTGCATCTGGAGAGGTTTGCAGCGGACGGTGTGCACAAACTGAGCTGTGTGAACGAGCTCTACCCAGCGGCTGCTCTCCTGAGAGCGCGCAATCACCGGGAAGCTTTGAGGCAAGCGTTTTCATGCTTTGAAGTAAACGGGCTGTGTTAAAACGAACAAGAAAATCAGCCCACCATCACAAGGTGCAAATCGCGCAGTAACGACAGGTCGTCCAAGGGGCTACACGTTGGTCTCCAGGCCTAGCAGGCGCCCCATCCGCTCCACATTCTTGTCGATTGTGGCCTGACACGTTATCTCCTTGGCACATTCCATAGGAAACCAGCCCCGTTCTCCATCTCGCAGCCGTTCCCCCTCATACCAGCCTGCAAAGAAGAACGGAGTCTGCATCAAGCAGCACAGGTCTAGGGGAGTGCCCACTGCACAGAGGATGTCGAGGAGATCAGACCCTGGACAAGGAGGGCAGAGTTGGGATGGAGGGCCGGTGACCGTGGGCTGAGCGGGGGAGAGGACACTCTGGTCAGAGGCAGCAGGTCAACATCTTGTTTCCCTCGCGTTTGAAAGTAAGGGAGAACTAGGTCACTGGGGGACTCAGGAGGGAGGAAAACTGTCCTTGCTGCCTTTTGGATGACTAGCCATACGATGGTGTCTCTAATCAAAAGCATTAAATGAACATTAAATGTTCACAGATGAGAAGCCAGTGCCCATGAAAGAACACTGGGAAATGAGGCGAAGGAGGCTACATCTCCAGTTGTCAGGCTAGCACTGTGCTCCACACAGTGTTCAGTGGCTCTTTCTGGGAACAAGACAGCCAGGCCTTCCTTTCTAGGTACCTCTGGGTGGACTCCACCCTCCAAGCCTTTTGGTGAGTCACTGAGCATGTTCAATTTGCACCAACTACTATTTAGGGTAAACGATTTCAAACATGACAAACTCCCCTAAACACCTTTCTAAGACATCTTGAGGGCTCTTAGGAGCCACTGACTTGGGAAATGAAGTCCCAGTACAGAAGAAAAGGAACAAGAACCGAGACAAGACAAGCAGGCAGTACCTGTGTGGTCTCACACACTACTGGGTCAGGCCAGGTTCTATAGAAAGCAGGTACTGATAAGAAAATTAGACCTCTCGGGAGTTCTCTTGGCCCCTGGACTCAGGACTGCGATGCTCCGTATAATACCCCACTCACCGTCACTGACTTGCTGGTAAACGAGGACCACATCCGACACCTGAAGGGACAGTTCATCGGGCTGCTTCGCAGTAAACGATCTAATGATCTCCACCTGGGTCAGTGCTGCGCAGGAAAGGTGGCATGCTGAGTTCCCAGCCACAGAGAGAACAACACTGCTGCTAATCAATCAGTCCATCCATCAATCAATCAACCATGTGCATCTACTTGCTCCTTCTGAGCAATTCGCAGCGGGCACTGCTAAAGCAAGTCAGTCTGATCTCAGCAAAGAGAGTCTTTCTGGGGTTCTGGCCGGAGTACACACTTTGAGGGTCCCAGAAGTTCAGAATCAAAAGAGAGTGGCCTTCTCTGATTTGTGAGCGCCTTCAGTAACAGTCTTGACAGGGACTTTTTAGTCACCCCACCCAACAGAGAGGAACACTGCCATTGTGCGTGGGAGAAGCAGAAGCAAGGCCGATGAGGTGACGTACCAAGGCCATGCCTGGGGTGCTAACATTTTCAATACACCCAGCACCCCGTTCTCCTGGCTCTTCCTCAGCGTGGTTGCTCAGCCCGCCAGCAGCGATGGATGCAAATGGCCAGAGGTGCTGAGAAATAAAAGGCCCTCAGGAGGCAAGTCGAAGGCCTTTTTTGGCGTTTCCCTACAGCAAGGTCCTATGACAGGACACAATGAACTCTAGCGACTCCCAACGGAGGGCTGTGACCTCTCGCTCAAATAATCTGTCCCTGACTGTGAAACGCAATCAAAAGGGTTTCAAACCAATAACCTGATCTTGTTACTGTGTTAAAATACATATTCCTAATGATATTAACAAATCCTATTTCAATCCTTTTTCAGTGTGCAAATTCAATGACTCTGATTACATTCACCATCTTGTAAAACCATCACCATTATCCATTTCCAAGTTTCCCCCACAGCGGGTCGAAGTCAACACAAGAGGGAGGGTTTTTGAGTGTTCCACACATCGTCCAGTGCATGCATTCCCCCTTTCCTGCACCAATTCCTACTTCCCTAGGAGGAGGAAATAGATTTTCTTACCATTATCCGTTAATTTAAAAGAAAGGCAGGCACAAAGGACTCATGAAGCACTTTTTTAGGTTAAACACACATTTGACTAAGAATCAGAAGGTTAGCATGGAGAAGGCTTACACATGCGATCATTACCCATGAGCAATGTTTACAAGATTAAGAGCTTCACAGGTCAAGCAGGGCTTTGATGTTCTGCTATTACCTAGTCTCTCACTCACAACAAGCCCGTGCTCTATCTCGTAGTCATGTGTTGGGCTGCTAACCCCAAGGTCAGCAGTTTGAAATCACGTGGCTTTGCAGGGGAAAAGGCAGGCTTCCTACTCCTGTAAAGAGTTACAGGCTTGGAAATCCACAGGGGCAGTGCTACCCTGCCCTGCAGGGCCGCTGTCAGTCGGCAGTGCGCTGTGAGTCTAGTGTCTGGGAGTCCCTGGTGGCATGCTTAGCTGCTAACTACAAAGTGGGAGGTTCAAGCCCACTGAGCGGTGCCTTCAAAGGGAGGCCTGCAACCCCGTTCTACTCGGACACTGGTGGTGTTGCATGAGGTAGACTGGCAGCTGATCTCAGGACAGGGGGATGTGCCTGACGCCAGAAGCAATGCTCGGCCGTGGTTACACAACGAAGAACTGCGTCTTGGATTGGAATTCAGGACCTCTGACTTCCAAGTTGGGGCTCCCACAGCTCTAGTGTGAGGCAGTAAAAAGGGAAACCTGGTGTTGTGGGGATGTCCATGAACGAAAGCCTTGGTGCCACAGTGATTCATGGCTAGCCCAGGGTCCAGCAGTTCAAACCTACCTTTCTGAGGGAGAAAGGTGTGGCAGTCTGCTTGTATAAAGACTTACCACCTTGGAAACCCCATGGGGGTGGCTCGGAGTCAGAATGGTCTGGGCCTCAATGGGATTGGCTTGGGGTCTGAGTAACCTAGTGTCCACCAGAGGGCAGAGTCCCTCCACTTCCCATCTCAGCTCGGGCTGCTCGGGGGGAAAACTTACAGGTCCGGTCTGGAGGCTGCTTCCCGCTGCTGTGTCCCAGGGCGGTAATCCAACGGGCCCGTTCACTCCTAAACACAGAGGCAGGTCCAATTGAGAAATTCATGGTCCAGAGAAAAAGAAGAATGCGCGACCTACACAGCCATTCCCACAACACTGAGGAGAAATTCGCCAGACACAGCTTGGCTTTCATAACAAGGGAAAGAGTTACTTAAAAAGTACACTCTGGGAAATCTAAAGCAGGCGGAACACCAGCCGGCGCTGCTGAATGATGCGGAATGAATGGAGCCAACCGCTGAGCCAACAGAATTTCTCTAGAGTTTAACATTTAATAATGTGTTTTTTATACTAGCGTGTTATTAATCTCAACACATTGTTTTGTACACTCTTGCGATCTGATGTTTAATGTTTCAAAAAGGTATATCTGAGTTAAAAAAAAATCCTAGATCAATCGATCGCTAGCCACTCCCTTGTGTCCCAAATAAACACAAATCATTTTGGAAAAGATAAGAAACTTTAATATTTAGTGCTCAGGTGAATATTGTAAAAGTAATTTCACCAAAATATAAACCTTACTGAAATAGAAGTTTGTTGTCTAAATTTTTTACTGTTCTAAAAATGCTTAAAATAGTTTAGTCAGTACACCAATAAACTTTCAGGAAAAAGAAAATAACCATAATTTTTAAAATGATAATAAGCTATAGTTAACATAAAATAGAATAATTACTTGGTAAAAGGTCAAAAGCTTCAGGGGAGCAGGTCCAGGGATCCATAACATATTTACCTCCAGTTTTTTACTGGGAGAGTCAAATAACACATACACACTTTAAGATCACTGAAAGTATCATTAAACAGATATTCCGTGTCAGATCCATGCATTTTCCACCCATTTTCTCTCTCCAACAGGTCCGTTTTAAAGATGGGGCGAATGGACTGAAGCTCCCAGGTAAGTGAGCCTCATGCAGGTCTATTTCCACTCACCTACGTCAAAGAGACACCTGCACCACGCTCCGCTCCGAACCCAGCTGTCTGTCCCTCCCCGGGGGCCTCCACC